CCTGCCATATAACATGCTAAAGAAAAACTTTTTTTAAGTATGTAAAGTATTCCTCATTTCTGGGTAAATATTCAAACTTCTCTGCGTTTTTTAGAATGCATTCCCCGCCCCCTCTTTTTTTCTTTCTCTCAGTACTAGGTACTTCTTTTTAACTAAGTATAAGCAGTTTATATCCAGAAATAGAATGGGTTTTGTGGTCTAGGGAAGGGGTTCTTTCTGCCTTCATATATCCTGCCTGGCTTCCTGCTTTGCTTTATCATTTGTTCTGCAGCTGTGTTAGAGGGAAGCAGAAATAGTCCCTAGCCAGCTCAGATACGTATGGATTTAAGCTGAATAAACAACCAATAAAAGTAACCAAGGATTAAAATACCTGTGGAAATAGTACAAATTAATAGAAAAAAGGATAAACAATATTTTAGGAGGAAAAAATGTACGCAAAAGATGGCATTTTCCACAGTCTGGAGCAGCAGGTGTTTATGAGGCTACAATAACCTACCATATTTTGCCATGTATAATGTGCTCCTGTGTATAATGTGCTCCTGTGTATAATGTGCACCCACATTTTTGGCCCAAACTTTCAGGGAAAAAAAAGCCTTTCATTTTAATTTTTTAATTCAAATTTTTATTTGTTTACATTTAGATACTTGTTTTTTGTATTATAAAGGAATTTTAGCATTTATTTTTTAACATATTATGGTACAAGAAATGTTACATAGCAAATAATTACAAAAACAAGAACAGATACAACATAAAAGAAATTTTATATACCGGTAACAAATTTATGATATTTACGCATCATAGAAGGCCAAGAACGCTTCATTGTTGCAAGTTTGTGGTAAGTTCAACAAAACCGATTATCATATTCCAGGGTATTATTTTACATACGGATGTCGTTATTGATTTCTAGAATTACACTTTTAACCATAAGCATGAATAAAAGAATTAAAAACATTTATGTAGATACGGAATTAGTACTACCCATGTATAGCGTGCATCCTTATTTTTCCCTCACAAATTTGGGCAAAAATGTGGGCATTATACATGGCAAAATACGCTAATTCTGTGGGATGGTCTATTTGAAAAATATAAGATGAGTTTCCCCAAAGTTTTCTTGTACAGATTAAGACACATTTAAAAAACAGGATATACTGATATTTGTGAGTTGAGAAATAATTGCTCTTATCTGGGTTGAAAAATTGACTGTAGAGGCTGTGCACTTTGTGACTGGGCTAAGTGTACTCTTGTCCAACTTCACAGCCATTGCTCAATTCTAGATTCTTATTACTTCTCACCCAGATTATTACAGTAACTTCCTGACTGGCCTCCAACCATTCATTCTTACTTCAGTTTAGCATTCTCACAATTGTGACATCCATTTTCATCATTCTCAATCCTCCTTCCATCTCCATCCTGCTCCTGAAATTATTAATGGCTCACTGCTGCCCACATGACTGGTGAACGCAGGTGGTCAGGAAATGGCGTCTGTTCATATAGCCCTATTCCCATCACTCAGTTATCATTCAGTTTCTGCTAGGGATGTGTTGAATGAAGAGTCCAAAGCCAGAAAATTTTAACAGAAATTATATTAACTTACACATGGACAAGCTTTTCTTTAAAGGAAAAAGTGTATTATTTTTATTAAAATTCCCTTTTCATTTAGAATCACTTATATGTGTTTTAATATAATTGGGTTGGCTCTTTGATTATCTTTACCATCTGCATTAGTTGCTAGCAACTGGATATGTTCTAGCAGACTGATTGCATAATGTCTACATAAATTAGCGAAAAATAATGAACATTCTCAGTCCTCTTGGCCATGAGAAAACGTCACCAACTACTTTTTCTTTTATCTCCACTTATTTCTTAGGGACCTGTCTTTACTGTTTCATTTTCAAAAGGCGGAGAGCTATTTTCATCCGGAGGTGCAGATGCACAGGTTTGTAAATGTTTCAGCTCCCTCTTTGATTTGGTTGGGCTAAAGGAATCGAAGACCTCAGCGGAGATTTTTACCACCAGCTAGTTGGTATATGCTAAGATGAGTATTAATGAGTTTATATTTGAATTTAATGCCAGGAAGTCTGCTATTTCATAGCTGAAGTAACGCCGGTTCTCATAGGTTTTGGAACTCAAACAACAGTTATTTTCTTTTGCTCATCTTTACACTTAATTATACATTTAACTGACACTCACTAAATGCCCAATATTGATGCAGCACTTTCACTTGAATTGTTGCATAATATTTTGTCTGTATGTCTAATTTTTCTAATGCTAAGGTTCTTGCGGATGTTAAATAGGAATTGTTTTTGTAGAAAAATCTGCATTTATTTGAAATGGCCAAAAGTCATTCATAGCCAGATTTATTGAATAAGGTGGACAACATGGTTTTGAACTTGGAAAGGAAAAAGAAAAAAAGGAGGATTTAAGGTAATAATATGAATTTAATATGAATTTTCAGCTGTACATGAAAGCAATTCAAAATGCTCAGTCTCTCCCTCCTTAAAAAAAAAGTATTGAGAAATAGTAATGTTGTTGAAATATATATCTAGCCTTCCTGACTATTTTGAGGGACAATTCTGTAGATTTTTTTTTTTTAATTGGGGAATTGGGGAGGGGAACAGCATTGGGGAATCAGGGAAGGGGAACAGACAAGTTGCTGTCCTTTTGTTCTTCAGTCTAGTTGTGGNAAAAAAAAAAGTTAGTGTGAGATTTTCAAACTCCTTATCTGCGCTATCTGAGAAGTCAGGGATAGAAACCGACTCAGAAGGAGTTATGTGAGCATAAATAACTGTTATAACTGCTGGAAAACAACATCCTACTCTGCCTATGTATTGAGGTTAAAAGAGAAATGAATCAGTTCCTGGTGTATATTGGATTTATGTTAAATCCACATTTCCCTTTCTTAATAAGTGTAATATTTACCAGGTAGCCGACACTGTGCTACATCCTCACAGCAGCCCTAAGATGTATTATTATTATTACTCTCATTTTAAAGATAAGGACATTGAGGCTTAAGGAGAAAAAGCAAGTTGCTAAAAGAGTTGATGGAACTGACTTGGAACTTTCTGTTTACCAAGTACATCAGAGAACATTTTGATCCCTGTGTTATACTGCCTCCTCTTGGACAGATGGTGTCCAGAAATGAATTCTCAAGCTGGCAAGCCCTTCTCCAGATATATCGCCATACCCTTCACCTCTTAGTACCAAGCCACTAAATGGTTACTAAATTTAGTTTGAGGCTAGATTGTATACCTTATGTGAGCCGATAGTAATCAACTGTTGGTTATTTTGGTAATATATCTGAAGACTTTATAGTTATGTGGTTAACATGGTGATCTTTCCATGACATTCAGTTTTAAAGCTGTTCTGTCTCATTAGCCAGAAGCTTAAGCTGTATGATGCCAAACTATTGATTTGCTTTAATGAGCTATATGGACTTTTGGTGTTGTGGAGACATTGCCTCTAATTGATTCTTGTTTTCAACTCAATATTGCTAATAGGGTAAAGAGGCATATTTAAAATTAAGAATTGTTCTCTGAAACTTTTGCTTTATTTTCTACAAATCAGTTCACAGCTGTGGAGTGAATTGTGTATCGTTTCACCCTTCGGGCAACTATCTCATCACTGCTTCTTCAGATGGCACACTTAAGATTCTGGATCTCCTAGAAGGAAGGCTCATATACACACTGCAAGGACACATGGTAATTTGTCTTAATTAAATTTATTGGTGTGACAGTGGCTAGTAAAATTACACAGGTTTCAAGTACACAACTCTACAATACATTATCTATACATCACATTGCATGCCCACCATCCAGAGTCAGCTCCCCTGCCATCACCACACGTTAGACCCCCTTTACCCTCCCCCACCAACCCCTACCCCCTTACCTCTGATAACCACTAAACCACCATCCATGAAGGACATACAGTATTAACACTAAGATTTTTCCTTTTTAAATAATATATATTTTAAAGTTTTGATTCGTTTTATTATGTCTTTATTATTTGTGCAAGTGTAGCATGCATTGTTGCTATCATAAATATTTTTTTTGCTTCGAAGGCTATGTTTTTATCCTCTGGAAGCAACTCTTAGAAATATCATTTATTATAATTTTTGTCAAAATCAATGTGTATCTTTCAGCGGCCATTTGATTAATCCTCCACTGCTATCTTCATCACGATGTACTTTTAAGTTTGACTGGTGAAGTGGTGATCGATACATTTTTTTCCCTACTTCTAATCTTTCTTCTCACGTGGAGGCCGTCTCACTAGCTCTGACACTTAGCCTCTCACACTCCTTCAGTCATTTCTTTCACTACTCGGCTGAGATTAAAAGGAGAAATTTTACAAGGAAAGCCCAGTGCCTGCTACTCGTGGGAGTAAGGCTGTTCTCACTGTTTTCCTCTGATACTTTTTGTGGGGAGGCCTGCCCTTGTCCAGTCTGGCATGTGATGAGGCACTCAAGTCTGACTCATTCTAGGATTCAGTTCTAGAAAGCCCATTTGCCCATAGATAAAACCACATTCTTTCTTTGCAAACCTTCATCAGTAAGAAAGATGATATTTTGGCTCTCATATGCCTTATTCTATATCTTATTTCTCAATTGGTTTAGAACCCAGTAGGAAAAAGAGGTCCTATTTATTGAGCCTATTCACCTCAGTGTCTCTCTCTCTCTCTCTCTCTCTCTCTCTCTCTCTCTCTCACACACACACACACACACACACACACACACACAC